AGTAAAAACACTAATATTGTGAAATATTGTTTCAATTTTAAATAACATTTTTCTATTTGAATCTATTATAAAATGTCATTTATTCCTGTGATGCAAAGCTGAATTTTCAGCATCATCACTCCAGTCTTCAGTGTCACATGATTCTTCAGAAATAATTCTAATATGCTGATTTGCTGCTCAAGAAACATTTCTTATTAATATCAATGTTGATTCATTTTTTCAGGGTTCTTTGATGAATAGAAAATTCAAAATGACAGCATTTATTTAAAATTTGTAACATTATAAATGTCTTTACTGTCACTTTTGGTCAATCATCCTTGCTGGATAAATGTATTAATTTCCCTCCAAAAATTACTTACCTCAATCTTCTGAACAGTGGGTATTTTAGTTTAGTTTTTGAGCTAGCTTTTCTAAACTCTTCAGTTAGAAATAATAAAGGATCTCATGTGATATGAGGGTTCACTGAAGTGTATTTTTCAGACTATGGGGGAGGGTTTGAACTTTGAAGATCCACTGACTTCCCAAAAGAAGGTCCTTAAGCAATTAGAACTTTGTCTGAACCTGTAATGGAAACTTGCAGTGCAAAGTTTATTACTCTCGTTGACTGTGAATAGCATGACTGTATGTTAACGTGTGGCTCTTCAGAAGTGTTGTGAGGACCTATGCGTGGGGTTGGGGTGATTTCATGGACATCTGTTTCTGTTGGTCTCTCATGAGTAGCTCAGACAGGCTTATGTTCTTAATGTCATCTTAAGGAACAAAATACTAGAGAACGCAAGCATAATTAGCTGTTATTATTATTACTAGTAGTAGTAGTATTTTTATTATTAAAAAAATACTTTTATTAAGGAAGGATGCATTAAAATGATCAAAAGTGACTTCATTGTAACAAGAACATAGCACTGTTTTCAACATTGATAATAATAAGAAATGTTTCTTGAGCAGCAAATCAGCAAATCAGAATGGTTTCTGAAGGATCATGTGACACTGAAGACTGGAGTAATGATGCTGAAAATTCAGCTTTGCATCACAGGAATAAATTACAATTTAAAATATGCAAATTGCCTCTGATTAATCTCAAATGATGCTGTCATGCCTGCTTTCAAAAGATAAACGCACTTACACTGTATGGTACTCCTATGGTATTTGAGCTGATTATGTATTTGAGTAGGCTTTAAGATAAACGTGTGTTTACAATGCAGCCTGGGTCACACGCGGAGAACAAGAGGACATTTCGTCCAGAACACCCAATTAGAAGATGCTCACATAATAGACTGTAGAGAACAGAATGAGGAGGCAACCTTCTCATTTATTGAAGGACTGCTAACAGCATCTGAACCATTCTTTTGTTCTTTCTTTCATTTGGAAGGATGTATTGTATGTGTTTGTGACAACACAAATAATTCATTTTGATGGACGTTGCTTTAAGATCTTCAATGAAAAAAAGAAATGCTTTTTGTTAAATTAGTGTCCGCATCAATTCTCTTCCATGATGCAACTGAATACTTCATTATTGCATTTTAAAAATCTCAAGCCAGCCTAAAATGGTTTGCTGGTCTTAGCTAATTTAAGCTGATCTAGGTCTCCTGTCTAAGTCTAGTTTAAGTTGTTGTTGTTTTTCTCAGTAGGGATGTAAAATATTATGTAAACATACTCTCTACTAATTTAAAACTTGCTATTGGCCACCATATTACTTATCAATGTAAACCATTTGTAAACCATTAATATATGTAAATGTCTTTTAAACTATCAATAAATAATGTAAACTATCAATCTAACAGTTAAACAGTAACTGAAGTTAGTTTGAAAAATCACGTTTTTTTGTTTCTGAAAATATATATGAACAAATAGTTTGATTTAATAAAGGAGTATGTGTGTGTGTGTATATATATATATATATATATAATTATTATTATGAAAAAAATCACACTAAAAATAAAACTAACTACAATTAAAATAAAAACAAAACATAAATAAAATAAAACAATCTAATTGAATTCAAATATTTAAAAAAAATTATAATAGTATATTAATGAAACTAAAATAACACTGGCGTATACTGCAGGTGTGATACCTAATAAACCTGTTCAAAGTTTCACTTCAATTTATTGTAGTTATTACAATATATTAGAAAATATTATCATATTGTAAACATTTGTTCACCATATCAGTATAGCTTCCTGAATGCATAACATTCAAACTTTCCTCCTCTAGACGGTAACAAACGCTGTTCTGTAGTCACAGCTGAGTTTGATATACTGTCAGCTTGCGGCTGTGTGTTTCCTCTCACCTGGTTACAGGTGCATGGCAACCTCTCCTGACGTAGACACACACTCAGATGCTAGACTCCCTCCCTCCTGTTTCCTGCCACTGACAGATCCACCTACACCGGCAGTGGGAAAAGTCTCTGATATAAAGGCTGATATATGGACTAGGGGTCTTTATGATGCAGACGGTCAGAACGGTGGATGTGGTTGACTGCTCCTTTCTCTTCTGCTTTTCCAAGCACAACAAGGCAGCGGTCCAGATTAAGGAGGACATGAAGTGGATGGTGCAGCTGCCCATGAACAAACTCTCTCCGGCCACCGCCACAGGGGGGAAGAAGATCTTCGGTGTGTCCCTGCTGGAGTTGAGAGATCTGGGACTTGTCAAGGACGGGGTTCCTGTGGTTGTCCGGAGTATGGTGGAGTATCTGGAAAAGCATGGTAAGTGTTGCTTTCAGCTCAAGTGTTAGACCTGATCATGGTTGGTGTGAAGAAATCTGATCTGGGGACAATGATAAAGAATTAAAAGTAACCCGAGTATTTCATTGGTGAACCATTATAATGCTTTAAGCAACTAATAGCATGTCATGTCCTGGCCTACTGCGTTTTCACAAAGAAGAAATCATCAGGTGTCTGATACAGGCCTAAGAGTTACTGGGCAATTTATGATTGTTTTCAGAGATGCGGCAAGTGCTATAATAACAAAGAGCAGAATACTTCGTTTTGCCCTCTTGAACTTGAATATAATATAATATAATATAATATTATATATTTTTTTCTCTTAAACTTTATACACACACACACACACTGTGTTTACAACAAGTTAAAAACACTGTAATACTGTTTTCTTTTATGATTTATTTTATATTATATTATTTTCTGTTTTTATTTTAACATGACATGGGTTGTTTACCAACTATAGACATACATTTTTTAATCATCAAAATGTATATTACATTAAAGGATAAGTTAAATTTATACTACATTTATGAATCTATAATTTATATATCTGCATTTTAGGTGCTGTGACTAGTCAATAAAAAAAAACTTTATTTTATCATTTTAATCACCTTGCCTTTATTTTAATTTTTTACCTTTATTCACAGTCAACCTGTGGTATGACATGCATTTTTAAAGGTACAAATATTATACTGTTTTTGTAGGCATGCTATCTGAGTTGATCTGAAGTCATACAAAATGCATGTATAAGAATAAAAAAAAAAATAGAAAAATGTTTTTATCTTTTTTTTTTATTCTTATACATGCATTTTCTATACACAAAATTCAAACTTTTTCTAAAGCAATTACATTTTCTTTTTCAAGTATACTGTGGACACAGTTAGCACACTCTGACCATGTTGGCTGAAGTAAATGAACTGGCAAGGAATCTGTTTTTTTTTTACCTGCCAATAGTACATGTTGTCTAAGAACATAAAGTCACAGCTTTTACTGCTTTAGTGAACGGCTCCAAGCCTTTAGCCAACAAGGTCTAAGCTGTGACTATTACAATTAAGGTAACTGGGTACTGGATCAAGGTCAACTAAATAAAAATGAAGAAACATGTGCATTCAAGTAGCAGCATGACTGCTAATTGTATTTGTGCAAAACATTAAAAGTAAAATCAAATGGGTAAGTGACTGGACATTATAATGACAGACTGAATATAAATATTTTCTCACTTCCTATTAACAAAAAAACATAACTTGTGTTAGAATTTTATCCATTAAATCAACTTTCATTAATAAAGACTAGAATTTACTAAACATATGGTTTATTATCATATTTGTTCCATACTGTACTCTGATAAATCTGAAACCCAGAAGCTGCAGTTGTACTTGTTTTTCTCTGGATGGTGCAATAACCCTTCAGAGAAGAAAAGCACTGCACTGGGCCTTTGACATGTCAGCACTAGCATTTTACATGAACTTGACTTTTCTGTAGATTTTATGACATTGATCAAATATCTTCCCATATTTATAAAGATTACATAGTTCTGCAATCGAGCTAAGAGTGGCATAAGTTAGTTTATTACCTGTTGAAACCCCTAAAATGTTGTTAGTTTTAACTACAAAATGACTTACAGAGCTTTGTCTCTCTCATGGTGTCACAATCTGTCAGGTCTTCTTCTGGAGGGTCTGTTCAGAGTAAACGGCAGCGTTCGGACCGTGGATAACTTGCGGCAGAGGTATGATGGTGGAGAAGAGGTTGATCTACATCAGGATGCAGACACCTTTGCTGTAGCCAGTTTACTGAAGCAGTTCTTGAGGGATCTACCTGAAGCTCTCATCCATCCCTCTATCCACAATCCTCTCATTCAGCTGTACCAGGGTGAGTCAGCTTCTAGATTTCATTCATGGTGGTGTGGAGTAGTGCTTAAACATCTGAACTGGCAACTGAAAGACTGTACTTTTCATGGACATGGGAGGAAAAATCTTATTCAAATTCTAAATCTAATTATAATTGGGAAGTAACCATTTTGAACTATTTGCAAATAATATTTAACAATATGCACACATGCACTTTTATTTGTATGCCTAATATGTGGAAAACGTTTCTTGTCTAGTCACATTCAGTTAGGAATTACATGAGCCAGGGCGATACCATATTTTCAGTTCAAAACAGCCATATCTGAGAAAAAGTTGAGTATTAGTTAACATTTCTGTCGTAAAAAAAGTTGTCAAATATTTAACGTTTCGCTAATTCCATTTTACCTGGAACATTTATGAACAGTAAACCTCGCCTACTTTGATTTGATTGGCCAGCCTAAATGAAAATGTAACTTAAAAAATTATAAAAAATAAAATAAAAATGTGTTACTTTTTTTCTCCGAAGATGTGTTTCCATCTTCAAATGTTTGCGTGTGAACTGAGCCAAGAGCCCTTAAAGGGACATGGTGATAAAAAAAAGAGCTGAAATGAGAGAGAGAAAAAAAAATGTCATTGCTCAATGCTCTCAAAACGTTTTTAGGGGGAACACAATATATATATATATAATATAACAATATTTATTTACATTAACATTATAACGTGTTTAATTCATAATAGCAAAGTAGGTCAGTGCCAGTCAAACCTGTTAAGCTATTGATCAGCTGAAATTATTTGTGTGAAGGTTATGGTTCTATCTTAAGCTCATGAGTCATAGTCAGGATAATGACTGAGCAGAGCAGCCTTCTGTAGTAGAGTTTAGTGTAGACTAGTCTATATCACACAGTCAGTGCCTTAAATCATGCTCTGTGTTTTCACACTGGCTGAAGAGCTCTAGGCGGTAGTTTGGCTTCTGAATGGTGTAAAAGATTAGATAGAGCTTTAATAAATGGCATTATTTACTGGCTCACGTCTATTGGGTCCATTAAAATTAGAACAATATTGAATTTGCAGCTGTATCATACTTCACTGACCTCTGCAATGTGCAGAGAGGAGACTTTGCTTGATTAATGTGGTCTTGGTGTCAGAGATCAGCGGTGCACCAATAAACACCGCAGTTTCATATCAAGGCTTCCCAAAAAAGAATTCCTGAAGGAAGTAATGGTGCCCTATTCCTTGAGCTGTTTCTGGACAGAATTGTTCGCTGCAGTTTTCAGTTGGTGTCCCAGTCTCCCTCTCTTTGTGGCATGTGCGAGACACTATATCCTGCTCAGATGGTGCATCTCGGATGCCAGAAAACAAGGATTAAACCAGATATATTTGTATTGGGAAGGTTTTGTGTTCATGCAGATACTGTAGAGTTGCACAGTAATTTAAGATGAACTCTTGGATTTGATTTCAAACTGAGAACTGTGATTCAATTGTCAATCAATCAATTGTGATTAGTATTAATTTATTAAAATATGAATATTTTAAAATTTTTGTTGTTATTGAAATTGAAAAAAAAGAGTTTTTGAATATTTAATATGAATATTTTAATCAATTTAGATTGTGTTGATCAAATGTGTGTGTATATATATATATATATCACCACTTCGATACTTCCTTGTTGCCACTTCGTGTTTTCCGAGTTTTTCCCAGTAACTGTTACTGTTTTGTAGCCGTTTCAATGTGACAACTAGCTAAAATAGAAAATATATTACAAAAACTTAAAAATGACAAATATTAGGAAAATATTTATTATTTTTAATAATGTAAATTGATTAATAATTATTATGTTTTTTAAATTAATTATTTCTAATTTAATTTGTATTACTGCAAAGTATTTATTATAGTTTAGCAAATGATGTAGTTAGTTTGACATACAGTAACTGTTTTATGTGACAACAGGCCAAAATAGAAAATATATAACAATAACAATATTATTAATTAAAATGTATTATTATTATTATTACTGTAAATATTAATGATTGATCATATTTTTAAAAAAATATTTAATTATACAATTCATATGTATTGGAATTTGTGTCACATATTTTCAGTTTCTTTGACAGTTTCTTCTTTGTTCAGAAGATTCTAACTTTACTGCTTTACTGGACACATTTCTTTTGTATTTTAATTATATTCATATCTTCCTATTTGACATATTAAGTCATTCATTGTATTTCTATGTTGTTCTTTCTGTCAGAATCCAGTGAGGGTGACTTCTGTAAGGACCTGCGTGAGCTCCTACTCCAGCTGCCAGATATCCACTACAGTCTCCTGCATTACTTATGTCACTTCCTGTCCCAGGTGGAACAGGAACAGGCTCATAACCGCATGACCGCCACCAACCTGGCCACAGTGTTCGGGCCCAACATCTTCCAGTAAGTCACAGTCACACAATTCAACGCAAGCAAGCCAATGAAATGTTTATCTCTTCCATCAATTATATCAACTGATCCATAATCTGATACCCATCATATCATCTTTAACTTTACATCTAAGTTCACTTTTGCTGCAGTGTATTTATTTTTTTAAGTTAATTGCAGAAAGCTCTAAATGTTTTTCCTTGAGTTGCGCTTGTATCTGCAAGCTGTCTGAATTATGTTTCATCTGCTCATTGCCAGAAACGGCATGTTATGTGTTCTGGGTGTCATGTTCTCAGTCTTGCTTCTCATTGGCTGTATTGCAGAGTGATCGGTACTCATGTCTCCAAGACACACTCAGCATAGTTAGTAGAGCATAGTTTCAGTGCCTGCGCAGTGATGAATTATTCTGTTTGTTCAGGGTGTACTGTAACTTCTTATGCAATTTTTATGACTTCATATTAATTGAGACATTATATAAAATATTAATTTGTCTTATCACAGGCCTATTTAAATATAAAAAAAGCATGATATTTTCCAGCAATACTTTAGGGATCAATTCTCACTTTTAACTACACTCTTAAAAATAAAGGTGCTTCAAAAGGTTCTTCAAGCGATGCCATAGAAGAACCATTTTTGGTTCCACAAAGAACCATTCTGTCAAAGGTTCTTTAAAGAACCATCTCTTTCTTACCTTTTTGTAACCTTCTTTCACCATAAAGAAGCTTTTGTGAAACAGAAAGGTTCTTCAGATGTTAAAGGTTCTTTATGGAACCATTTAGACAAAAAGGTTCTTCTATGGCATCGTGAAGCACCTTTAATTTTAAGAGTGTAGTTGCTTATTAGCATGCTTATTACTAGTATGTTGGCTGTTTATTAGTACTTATATAGCACATATTTAATGCCTTATTCTGTGTGATCATATTTTAGAGCCCTTAATCCTACCCAATACCTAAACTTTACAACTACCGTACTAACTGTTAATAAGCAGCAAGTTAGGAGTGAATTGAGATAGAAGTTATAGTTAAAAATTAGTTAATAGTGAGAATTAATGCGTGACCTATTTTTCTTATGTTGCAAAAAAATATATAATCCATATAATTTTGTCTAGTAATTTCACTTTTTTCCTTTTTTCGTTTTTTTTTTTAAAACAACAAGTCATAATTGTGGCATAAGTCAAAGTCAAAATTATGACCAAAAAACGTTGACTAGTGTCATATTTGTGACTTTTTGTCACAAATTTGCCATTTTTATCTTTTAATTATGACTTACAGTTGTATGTCATAATTTGGACTTTTTATCTTATAATTCTGACATTTTTATCTCATTAACTTCAGCATTTTGTGTCATAATTATGATTTACCAAAGCATGATTTTCTTTTTCATTGATAGAATCCTATAAATTTTAACCTAAAATCTTGATGGTTTAAATTGTCATTGTAATATTAAAATAATGTTTTGAAATACTTGTTTTGTGCACGTTTTGGCGGTCTTATGTCTAGCTATCCAGGCTTTGGACTCCAATAGAGGGGGCCAAAGTCCAGATGGAATTCTTTACTCGATGTCAGACTCAGCGCTTACACAAATATCACTAACATACTTTCTGTGCTCATAAATCACTTGGTTGTTATTTTCAGGCACAGAAGTAATCCGGCTGATTATTCACAAGTGAATAGCTCTGAGAAAAAACAGCCCAAGATTATTAGAGATCCCATCTACCCACAATGCAAAGCATACAGCTGTACTAACTATATATCCAGATTTAAGCCAACACCCTTCAATATTTTCAGTGTAGTTTAGGAGGCTGGACATAAAGTAATGTGATTTCACAAAAATACAAGTTATTTGATTTTTACATCAACGCATTTTAAATATTGTTTTATTTGTTCCTTCTTATAGTGACTTGTAAGCAAGTTGCCAACTGTTGCAAGATGAACACAACCCCTAATAATATATCAGCTCTCAGTTTCAGGGAATCCCTGTGACCATAACATGTGCATTTGACACCTCAGCGTCTGTGCATACAAGATGTGTGTTACCTCAGCTCAGTGAGGTGGAAGTGACAAAACCGTTGCCTGTTTTAAGCACATACCTCTCTTCTTCTCTGTACAGCATGTTCTCTTTGTCGGGAATAATTAAACCACAAATACAGCTGTCAGACGAGCACTCGGTGACCCCATGCAGTAGCAGCATTTACTGTACATTTTATGACTCTCTATTGTGGGATAGTATCTCAGTGCGGCCTCAGAGAATATATATATATATTTTTTTTTTACCTTTTTGCCTAGGTGACAGCAAACTGAATTTGACTCTAAAATGTTACCTTGATCCCATAATGCCAATTTTTATTTTCACAATTTAATGAAAAATCTATCAGATTTTATTTAGTTGTTTTATTCTTGATTTAGTTTTGTTGTTTATTGCATTTTCATTTTGTAAAATATTTATTTTGAATCATTCATATTGCTTGATTAATTTAATTTAATTTATTCATAAATATTCATTTTTATTGCATTATATTGCTCGATTGATTGTGATCAGTGTTGGGGAAAGTTACTTTTAAAAGTAATGCATTCCAATATTGCGTTACTCCCTAAAAAAGTAACTAATTACGTTACTTAGTTTCTTTTTATGGAAAGTAATGCGTTGCGTTAGTTTTGCATTACTTTTTAAATCTGGGCTGGGCTTATTTGTTTGTTTTTAATATAAAAAGTTCTTCTTTTAAAAATGTAAAAGCCCTTTCACAACAAAAATGAAATGAATGAGGAAATGTAAATTCACGTCTGCACAGTAGAGGGCGCAGCTCAAACAAATTGCATGAAGAATATGACGCAGAGAAGAAAGTTCACTATTCAGCAATAACAAAATTTAAACACAAATGTGTCATTTTTGCTTAGTATGGTTAAATTGGATCATCGAAGGTCAGCAGCAAAGACATTGGTTAATAAAATGGGATTAAATACATAAATGATATTTGTCTTATTTAACATATTTAATTATTGCAGGTTTGTATAATATTGTGCATATGTTTGCATTTGACTGTTTTTATTCATTTTGAGGAGTACTGAATCTGTTCATATTTAGTGTAGAACTTACAGTAAGCATCACATTCACACAGTGCACACAACGGCTCTGCACGTACTCCCGATTTCTCTCAATATGGCAACACAAGAGCTGTCAGTCAATACATGAGTGGAAAAAAGTAACTGGAGTTACTTGTTTCAAAAAGTAACTCAGATATTTCCTACTAAATTGAAAAGTAATGTGTTACTTTACTAGTTACTTAAAAAAAGTAATCTGATTACGTAACTTGCGTTATTGTAATGCGTTACCCCCAACACTGATTGTGATATATCATTGCTTATGATTTATTACTGAAAAGGGCTAAAAAAAGGGGGAAATGTTGTTCCTGGTTTTATCATTTAATGTGGCAACACTTGACCTTTGATTTTACAGCATGTGTGTGTGTGTGTGTGTGTTCTGTAGTGTGTCATCTGGTTTTGACGGTATACGGGAGCAGAATATCTGTAACAACATTATGGCCAAGTTGATCCAGAACCGCAGCACCATATTTAAGCCTGTGGTGGAGAGAAGACAGATCGAAGAAAAGCCTTCAAACCTAATCATGGTCAAAGTGAGTGTGAGTGACAAAACATATTAACTCCCATTGAACTGCCACTTCACTTGCCTTCGGTTGGCAGCCATCTAATATGCCATAGACAAAATAATTTAAGAATAATAAATATAATTGTTCAGTGCAACAGAATAGTCGTTGAAATGGAGGCATTTCATTTTAGTACACGCAAACAAACTAAAATTGGGGTCTAAACCAGTGTTGTTTTAGTATCCTTACTTTACTATCTTAGTATTTATTAAGATTTTGAATTGTTTTTCAAATTAAGAATAATAATTATAATTGTTCGGTGCAAGGGAACAGAATACTGTTAGAAAAGGACCAATATAATATTAGTAAATGCAAACACACTAAAATTGGGGTCCAAGCCAGTGTTAGTATCATTACGGCACTATATTAGTGTTCTTATATTTTCTCTTTGCCTTTTACATTTAGTTGTTTTATTAATTTAGTTGTGTTTTAGTCGGGTTTTTTTTGTCTTTTTTTTAATTAATTTTAATTTCCGTTTTAGTATTAGTAATAGTACTTCACCTAAACAAAAGTTAGAAATGTTGCATTCGCAACTAACTAAAATAAAAATGTTAAGTAAGGTGTTTTTTCTATTCAATTTTATTTCTGGTAACATTTCATTCATTTCAATTACTGTAAATATTTTTAGAATTTTTAGTTTTAGTTAAGACTAACAACACTGGTCCAAAAAGTCATGGTGCCCTATTTTAACGATCTAAGCGCATGGTCTAAAGCGCACGGTGCAATTGCTCTTAAGGCGTGTCCAAATCCACTTTTGCTAGTTTAAGGACGGGAAAAATGGTCGACGCGCCCGGTGCATGGTCTAAAAGGGTTGTCCCTATTCTCTTAATGAATGTTTTGGGGTGTAACGTGCCATAAGATCAAAGCTGCATATTTGTAATAAACAAATCCATCATTAAAACTTTTTTAACTTCAAAATGTCACTTCTGGCCAAAATATGAGTCCATAATCCATAAGGCTTACTCCAATAAAAAAAACCCTCCATCCTCTGTTGTCCTCTCACATGAAAATCCACCAGCATATTTTTTTAAAGGGGTCATATGATTTCAAGTGTTTCTTTCCCTTTGGAGTGTTACAAGCTGTTCGTGAATAGATAAGATCCCTAAAACTAAAGTATCAAACCCAAAGAGATATTCTATTTAAAGGTTAAGACTCGTCCACTCCCTCCTAAAACGCCTCGTTCTAACACGCCCCCACATGTCTACGTCACGATGTGGGAAGATTTGCATAACACCGCCCAAATGTTTACGCAAAGAAAGAAGGCGTAACTTTATTGTTGCTGCCACCGCCGCCGCCATGTTGTGAAGACACTGTGTGTTTCGTTGCGAAAGCGAAAATAGTTTGTTTGGCCTTCCAAAAGAGGACACAACTAGAAATCAGTGAAGTTGTATTTACAACACTGTTTCAGAACAGTTCAACCCAAATATTCAGATGTGTGCAGCAGATTTTATGGAGGACTGTTTCCTGATCCTTGTAGAGTAGACTACAATGCCGGCTGTTCTGACTCACAGACTGTAAGTATGTTTTCATATTTAAAAAATTTGCCACTGATGATTCAAACGTGAGTTTTGAGCAGTGTAGAGTAGCGCTTGTTGTTTGTCATTTCTCCGATCACAAATGCAGACATGGTTTTATGTTTACGCGGCGCAATGCAACGCAATGCGTAAAAAGACAGTATAAGTCATTATAATCAGTAGTTATGTCCCCACTGGATGGAACAAATGCCTTGTTTATAATGGGTTTTACTGTTTTTGTCTCGTCACGCCGGGACATGGCATCACAGTATGGTAGGGGCTTAACATTTCCGTCACACGCTTGAGGTATTCGGCCAATCACAACGCACTGGATAGCTGGCCAATCAGAGCACACCTCTCTTTTCAGACCGA